ATTCAAAAAAAGCAGTCTGGGCTGAGACACTCCGTATAACTTCAGCATACAGAAGGATATATGTAAATTCACTGGTTTGCATGACATCACAGATGATGATTTTAAAATGGGCTGTTTTTGCAGCTTTGTTTTTGTAGACTGTATGGACTAAGGAGTGATGTTTTAAAATGTTTAACAGTTTACATACTACATCAAACTCTATTATTGAAAAAAGCAAGGAAAAGCTTTCCATGATATGGGCCCTTAAACCAACCATCCATCCTGGTCCACAAGTAAAGCGAAGTAAACACACCGCCACTGTCATAATAAAACCCTGAATCGCTGAAATATTGAAACTTTGAAATGTTGTATATAAAAGTATAATGAAAATGTATTGTGATATTACCTTTTTGTTGTGCCCCCCACCCCTACTTTAATGTATCTTAATGCAACAAAATTTTATTCAAGTTATTTTGGACCAGGGGCCAGCAACATGCGGCTCTATTCCTGCCCTGTTGCGGCTCCACAGCAGAATTAGATATTTAGGTAAAAATAAAACTCTTTTGCAGTAAAATAAAGCTATGCTGATCATTCAGACACAGGTTTCACAATAAATGGTCTTAAACGCTGGAGTTAATGTAGCCTATATCTGCTAATTAACCCTTTAACCCTGAAGGTTGGTGCGCAGACTGCTGGTCACACAGCAATGTAGACAACAGTCTCACCTGGCTAGCAGCTAACAAAATAGCGCAAAGAAAGATTTAAGACAAACATGAGTTTTAGAGATGAATGATTTGCGTTTATAAGCAGTCAGCTGATTTCCTGTCAAACACTAAAAAGTTGCAAAGCTGAAGTCAGTTTGTTGTTTGAATTTTCCTGTTCCACCTTAAAAGATACAGCAGTTACATTCTGGTGCTTCAGACAGCATTTAAGGTAGAACAAGAAAATTCCAACAAGAAGCTAGCGAATGAGAAGACTTCAGCCTTGTAAAAAGTTGAACGTTAAGAGACATTTTACAAGAAGCTATTCTACTTTTGTGGAAAAATGAGAGAAAAGTGGCTATAGCTGAGCTGAGGCTCAAAGCAGAGCACAGTAAGTCTGCGTTTATGTCTATAATATATATTTTTTAGCCTATTTTAGTACATCATAGTCCATACTGAGACATATTTACAGCCAAGATGGTAAAATGGACACAAAATGTTGTTGCTCCCAAGTTGGTTTGATTTCTGCTGTAAGGCCAAAATGTCTCTTCTTTACATTTGGGTTGCTGACCTAAACACAATGTTAGTGGTTAGGGGTTCACACAATGTTAGGGGTAACTGGAGTGTTCCAATGGTGTAAAAAATAAAACCCCCAGTTAGAAGGTTTTGTGATAACACACAAAGTAATATAGACATGTCCAAAAAAGAGCAGCTGTTCTATACATTGTGTAAAAAATTAATGAGTGGACCAATAGAAATGCTTCAAAATGCCCCAAATTATTTGGAATAAAATCCCTTTACTTACATTAAAGTTAATAGCATTTTTGCCTTCTCCTGCAAAGTTACTGTTTTGGAGATGTACATGTTTTTCTTTGGTCAGTGGTGACATACAGAGGAAAATGCCTGAGAGAACAGCAGATTTGTCTGCCTTGGGAGACAATCTTTAATCTACCGCAAGATGCAGGTGAGAGAATGTCCAAGAATCCTTTGAAAATGATAATTTGCTCTAGCTGAGGCTTGCCAAGCAGCCGAGAGAAAAAGAGCATGTGCACAATAGAGAGAATAAGAGACAGAGCGAGAGAGAGAGAGAGAGCAACAGAGAGACAGCTTAATGAAAATGAATCTATTCTAAGACGATTCATTCCAGCTTCGCTTAGTGAGCGGACGGTCTTATACACTTCCCTCTTTCACATCTCGCTTTTAGAGCTCTAAGCTCATGAGAACAGAAAAAAACACTTTAATGCTCTTAAATTCAGCCGGAAGGCTGGAGATTGATGCAGACATTCTTCTATTGTGCTGTTTTATTGAATGCGTGTGATGCCAGGCTGTATTTGTGGCACTCTATTTATCATATGATAATATGCAGTGTACATATTACAAATAAGTTGCAGACACACACGTGAAAACTCATGCATACATGTAAATGGACGGAGACAGAGGCGACACACTGTGAAGTGAATGGAGCAAACCAAAGCCGTAGAAACAGTGTTTTCTCTTGTGTGGCGCAATGCATGAATCGGCCCACTCACGCTGCAGTTGCCTCGGCAACCACAGGAACAGATGCAGGTCAGAGCTAGGAGAGGGCAATCAGAATCCGTCACCAAACGGCTACAAAATAATTCATTTACGCACATGCACAGCCATACACGCATACAAACACCCTATTTACACTACAGCACACATCTTTTTCTGTTTAATCTCTCCAGGCCAACAGGATGGCTCATTAGCTCTCCAAAACTACAAATCCCATAAGCCTGTGTAACAAGGGCTTACCTGTGAACAGGTTTTTCAACTTCAGCCTCAGCTCTCGTATTACAGCAGAGAGAGTGAGAAAAACTCCGGTGCCACCAAATTACCCAGCACTCAACCCTTTGTGTACTCCATGAGTTAAAAATCACAGAGGTGGGCTTAGAGACCACGTGACTTGCTGTGCCATGACAAATCTGCCAGCCCTTAAAATAAAATCTCTCTACCAACATATTCATCCTGAAGAAAGTCCAGATCAAGATCCAGCGCAGGCTTTACCTGTCTTCTGCTTCTCATAAATATTTCTGAAGTATTTTTTTTTCGGAATTCTGTAAGACTCAATACAGATAAATAAAATACGATTTCCACATTGAGATGTTGCACAGTATTAGCTGAAAGCTAAAACCCTTGAAGATGACAGCGTACCTAATGGGGAAATACACCCAAGAATCTTTTTTTACTGCCTCTACATTGACCGAAGCAATTTTCTGGATTAGTGTTCCTTACTAAGAACACTAATCCCGAGGTTTTGACTGCATGGACTAACTGAAATGGATCATTAGGCAAGCATGAAGGTGAACTACATCAGGCTGAACAGGAAGTGCCTTTAGTAAAGCACAGCTTAACCATTCTCAATGTCAGAAAGAGCAAACCTGTCTGTTTGTGTTTGGATATCTAGGACAGAACAAACCAGTTTGCCTGCGCACGTATTTGATATAGAAGGGGTCAAGAGCTAATTAACTGTCATCACCTTCTCGGGCTCTAATGAGTCTCTGGGTCAGGAAGTATGAGCAAGTGCAGGTACTTGCAGTTTGACAAACACATCAGATCCACTCTCTTAGTCTCTCTCTCTCTCTATTTCCTCTGTACATCTCTCTTGGTAGTAGGGATGGGCAATATGATGATATTTCATCGATATCGTGATAATTTACAGCACAGTACGCTTTTCCAAGCATATTGTGGGTATCGTCAGTACTTAAAGAACACAGACTAACTACATGTTGCATTATAAAGTGAGCATAATTGTCATGTTTAATTGGATTTAGTGCAGTGTTGTTTGTATGTTTCTGTCTGTTTTGACACTTCTATTTTGTCTGTTATTAACTTATTAAAATCTCTGAAAAACAAAGTATTATGTTGAGTATTGTGTATCGTGAAAATGTCTTCAAGTATCATGATATAATACTTCTGCAATATCACATACCCCTACTTGGTTGATATTTCTAGTATATTAGTTGCAGAGGAAGTATAACAAGCAGAGGTGAAGGGAGTCCTTATCACCTATTTACTGTGCTACATATTGCAGATTTTTTTCCTGTCCACTCAGCATCTGTTGTGTTGGAATAAAGCTACCAGGAGTGGGAATCAAACCCATGCAGACATGTGTTGTGGATCTAAAGCCAAACACCTTAACCTTTCTGTCATCCTGGTAATACACAAATACATACAGATAGAGCAAAAGACCTTTGAAGACAAAATTTAAAGCTGGATCAGGCCCAATAATTAACAAATTAAATAGTTAAGTCACAGGTTAAGATCTGCATCAAATTCCTGACGCCCAAAATGCACAAATCAAAGACGATACCAAAAGCCAAGTCTACATCAACTTCAGATGGACAAAAAGGATTTGGTGTCAAGAAGTTCTGATTAAACCTGCAGTTGTTCCAATCGAGAACAGACTGCTATCCTAGTCTCTTTCATTTTTCGTCAGAAATTAGCAGACTAAGTCAATGGCAGAGGACTGAGTTTGCATATGATCGGCAGATGGAGGAGCTAGACACTTCTGAAAGCAGGTGGGGGATAAATGAGAGCGTCTGTAGAGTGCTGGGGGAGGATCTCTGAGAGATTATCATTTAGGGGGTTTGGGGTTTCCCTTGTCACGTGACTAAGAAACAGGCTGGAGAAAACAAAGTGATAGTAAATTCTTGTGATTAAAGGAATTACTTCAGCCTTTTTCAGTCTGTTTCAGCACCTGACCATTGGCTTCTATTATATGACAAGTTTTCAGTTCTTTTACAAAGTACAAAGGGATTCGTCAAAATGATTTATCGTCTCTGGTCATCAAGTGTACAACACAGATGCAGCTGATGGAGCTTGGGTTGAAAAAAGCTGAAGCATTCCTTTAATAATCCTACACACATGTATGTCAAAGATGTCATAACTGAGCATGGTTTGCTATGGGTGCTGTGCCTGTGCAGTGGCTTGCAGGCAGTTTCAGGGCTGCACTCACGTGTCCCTACTGCAAGCAGCTCAAGACGCACCAACAACAAACGCAAGAACGGCCTCAAACAGCGACGCATGAACAGAGCGCTGACATTCGACTAAAGATGAACTCAAACAGAGAGGCAACAAAGTCACAGAATAAAGATGATGTGCCGGAGGGGAACAATAAGAAGCAACTCAGAAGCGAACAAACCAACAGACAAAATAAACACAAAAGAGTACAGACAAAATAAATAGAACACCACGGCCTACAGACAAAACATGAGAGACTGCAGTTCTACTGAACTCAACTCTGAAAGGGGAGCTAGCACAGATCAGCACTCAAGGAGGTGTGAAAGTGTTGGCACTCACCATGAACTGCACGTTGTCGAAGCCATTGGCCAGCAGGTGGTTCTCATACTGGACAAGGCCGATGTTGTCCAGCCACTGTCCCACGGACTGCACGGGGCAGCGGGGGCCTATGAGGGGGTGCAGAGGGAGGCGTTTGAGCAGAGAGTAACCATCCACCCTGTAACAGCGGCAGTCCGGCTGAGACAGCTGACACTGCCACATCATGTTCCGTGCAAAGTGACTGTCAAAGGAGCCCGCCATGCTCAGAGCCTCGAGAGTGGACGGCAGAGAACGGGAGAGGAGACGGGGAGTAGGGAGAAGAGAAGAAAGGAAGAATAGAGAAGGCAGAGAAACGTAGCAAAAAGTGGCGGTGATGGAAAGGAAAAAGAGCAGAGAGTGTGTGAAAAGGAGGAGAGGAAGAGAGGGAGGGAGAGGAGATGGAAGAGGAGTCCTCTAGGCAGGTAAGAGGAAAAAGAAGACAGAGCCTTCTTTCTGTAAAGAGTGAAAACAGAACGCAGCAAAAGGAGGTGGTGATGGTAGAGAGAGGAGAGAGAGAAAAAGAAATACAAGGAGTGAAAAAGAGAGATGGAAGGGGAGAGAGGGAGAAGAGAAGGAGGAGGAGGAGGAGGAGGAGGAGGAAAAGAAGGGGAAGTCAGGGTCCAGAAGTAAAGAGGTTTCGGCTGCTGGACATGCTGAAGGCTGGAAATTCCATCCACCGCTGCTGCTCAGCTGTTGCTCCTGGACACTGCGCCGCGCTCAGTGTGTGTGTGTGTGAGCGAGCATGTGTATATGCGTGTATCTCTGCGCATGTGTGTGTGTGTAAGTGAGAGAGAAAGATAGAGAGATGTAGAGAGAGAGAGAAAGAGAGAGAGAGAGACAGAGAGAGAGAGGGGGGAGCGTGCAGCTTGCCTGGTAGAACGCTCTTTATCAACTACTCCCACACTCATCTGTATGCTTCTGCAGCCTGCTCCACAGTGCTCCCCCGCTCCCTCTCTCTCTCCCTCTGTCCCTCTCTCTATCTTACTCTCCCTCCCTTCGCTCTGTTCCTCTCTCTCTCCCTTCCGCTTGTTTCTCTCTTTTTCTCTGTCTCTCTCTCTAGTCGTACCTCTCTCTCTCTAGCTGCCGATAATAGCCATCAGATCAGCTCTAGCCTCTTTGTCTGAGTGCAAAGCTGCTGCTACTCCCTCCCACGCACACACACTCACACACACTCACACACGCTCTGTGGGTGTCTGTGAGCATTGGTGGAATGGTAGCATAAACAGGATTTCTCTCAGTGGACGAAGTGCGACGAAAGAACGTTGCAGGGGAGAGGAGAGGAGAGAAGGATGGACATTGCAGAGATCTGCTAATCATTAGAGGAGACGCGTGTTTCCAGGCTGCGCGAGACGTTCCCCTCTACTGAGCTTCAGCTTAACGCTGTTCTAAGGTCACCACTCACAGATAAACTTCTCTCCAAACCTCCCCAACCACTTTCTGTCCTCGCATCTCCATTACAGCTACAGCAGAGCGTCAGCAAGCAGAGCAGCGCACAGTAACCATAGTTACTTCTCGAAAAGCTCAGAGCTGAAGGGAAATCTGCCTCCACCACACTGCAGACTACAGGAGATACACACCAGCATTGTGGCTATACTGTGCTAGATTGAAGCGATAATTCAGCAAAACATCAAATTTACACCATTTTCCCTATACTCTAAATATTATCAATCAGCCGAGACATGTTTGGCATTTAAAGTTTGCTTCTTTAGTACCGCACTAGAGCTATGAGGCTAAAGTACCTAGTGATGGAAGCTTATACCCCACCAATAAATATGGTGCAAACTGCATGAATTCATCATGCATAGCATTAAGTTGATAAGTAATCTCAAGCAGACTTATGTGGTTTCTGACAATGTGTGACAAAGTAATCTAGAAATTTAGGTAATGGAAAAAAGATGGTTGCTACTGTTTTTAGCTAGGTGACATAATTGGTTACATTAGCCTCACAGTTCCAGTGCAAAACTCACAAAGCAATTTCAGACACCAAACATGTTCTGATCGACAGGGCTGGAACAATAATAAATTTTGGAGAAAAAAATGTATATATATATATATATATATATATATATATATATATATATATAAAAGTTTCCCAATCCCATTTCACCCCTCGCCCCTACCACTTAGCCCTTAGCCCTCCGTTTCCACGCTTTCACGCCTAGGGGTAGGGTGTCCTGATTTTTTTTTTTAGACAGAGGGGTAGGCCCTACATGGCCCTCCAAATGGAGGTTTTTCAGAGGCACACCCCAAATGGAGTGTTATGATAAAAAAAACGAAAACCGACAAGATGGCTGCATGAGCGACTAAAGAAACTCAAAAATGTGAGTATTTTTTCCATTAAAAATTCTGATAACCATTGTATTATCTTAATTTAATGATGTTATAGTATATTATGCTCCTTTTCTTCATAACAAGCTTAAAAAATCACTAGTAGTATGCTGATGTCTCGGTAGCTAGCTAGCTAAATTTCCTGTTCCACCTTAAATGGTTCAGCAGTTACATTCTGGCACCTCAAGCATGAGAACTGCTTCCATCATTTAAGGTGGAACAGGACAATTTGAAAAAGAAGGTTCCTCTTCAACTTCAGCTCCATATCCCCGAAGACTTAGGGGTGGGCATTAATAAAAATTTTCACTCGGAAACAATGGTAGGAGTGAAAATAAGAAATGGGATTGGGCCTAAATCCAAAGAAAAACACAAAGTTTTCAAAAGATAAATATTAACACTAATGTCGTCTTTCACATCAGAGCTCAGGGGAGCTACTGTAGTTTGTTTGCTCATTTTAATGCTCAAAGCAGAGCCTTAAGCTCCACCACACACACACAGTAGAGCTTTATTTTTCTTTTTTATTATTACCCACTCTGCATCATCTTTCAGTTAGTGGCTAAAAGAAAGTGAATTTTGCTCTGCTCTATACTACTTAATGAATCCAGTTCTTTTTTCTCTGCATCTCCTTCAATTGTTCTCAGTGTTAAAAAAAAGCACATTGGACTTCATGTGAAGGTTTCAGTGCGTTAAATCCTTAAACAATGGTGAAAAAGACATTACAACATCTAAACAGTGAACTATAATTAAGCACAAAAAATACAGTCCTGCTACATTTGGGTTAAGGGAGGAAACTGTAAATCTGAACTTTAAGTCATGATAATTTCAAAGAATAACAAACAGACACGTGCATGAAAACACAAACACACACCTGAGTGGTCTTCCTTGTTCTCATCAAGCTCTGTCCCAATTCCAGCGCCAATGGAGCTCATAATCTTATCAATCTACAGGCAGAGAGAGAAAGAGAAAGAGAGAGAGAGAGGTGGAAGCGAAGAAAGGAGGGGAGACAGGCTGTGAGAAGATTGCATGTTTGCATAATGCCATATTTTTGTTCCTGTACTGGAAGTCTCCTTCTCCCTCCGGGATGGTGTCTAACCTGCCTCTTCTCACTCTCTAATTCTCATATTCCCACATCTAATCCATTCCTGACCCTGCCTGCCTCCTCCACAGCCTGTAATTACACTCGGAAGGGCCAGGTAATTACTGGCTAAAAGCTGCTCAAAAAATGGGAAGTTTCTGCAAAGTAATTCATCATCTTTCGTTCTGTTTGAGTACACGGTGCATTGACAGCGGCAGGCAGTGTTTCTGATGAGTCCATGCTTGTTAGGGAAGAGTGAGATTGAGTGTGGAAGACAGTGCACCTCACATCCTTCTAACCTCCACCTGTCTTCAAAGGCCCTTCTCCATCATCTCCCTGTGGACTTACGTCTATTCTACAGAGAGTGCAATCAGGAACGTTTGCAGAGAGGCTCAATTCTCCATTTTTTCCACTTTGAGCACACAGCTGTACGACAGGGACTCAGTGAACACTCCAGAGTTAAACAATCTTCTCTCTGATCAGCTGCAGCATTTGACCACCAGTGTATCACATAACCTCATAAAACCTCTCTTAGACCCCTTAAAATTCAACTTAAACTGGTATCAAACAAGTATCAACTGAACAAGATTAATTGTATGTAGCGGTGTCTTGTTGTTAGAAATTAATGTTAAACTCTAATTATTCATAAATAACATTTTTATCTTCCAGTTGTCAAAAGAATGTAATTAGTAAGGATTACTGTGAATAATACTAAGCAATTAGTCAGGCTTTTTTTAGCGTTTTGAAAAATCACTTTTATAGGAATAAGGCATTCAGCATCTGCTTAAACAACAGATCACCTCAATTCTTTTGAATTTCTATGGGGTTTTACAATAAAAGACTTACTAGTCCAACAACAATGAAGTAGTTCTGCTGAAATGATGTTGTATTAAAACTGTAATATACTAATTCACTTGTTTGTACTTTGTTTCTTACCTGTTATGTCTTTAAAAGGTAAGTATGATGCACAGTTACAGGCTTTAATTACAGAGACACTAAATAATGCTAGAGCTGTAAAATGCAGACTTACCACTTACTTGGTTTATAATATGTTTTGAAACAAAACACTTTAATTGAACACCAATACAGTGACCTATAACGTAGGTGAACCTCTTAACATGGCCAGTGAAAGCAAAAGGTAAGTGTTTCCAATAAAGGATGGTAAGTGTATATATTTAACACTCCTGACTCAGCTTATTAACAGCTTATTAACAGTTCCCTAATGAGCTGAATCATGTGTGAAAGAGTAGGGAAACTAGACAACTGCACATGCTGGGGTCCTGAGGACTGATTTTGAGAAACACTGTCTTGGAGAACACAAAAAATCCACTGGGCCCTACAGCGAGTTGCCAGTTTATAAGATACACTTACCTTGTCCTTGCTGTTATTGACAATTTTATCAGCTACACACCACACAGGTGCACTTTGTAGGTTTACAGTTACTGACTGTAGCCCATTTGTTGCTGCACAATTTATCAGCCCCTCTCTACCCTGTTTATCAGTAGAAAAGGACCACCATAGAACCACTGCTGACCAGACATTACAAGTAATTTTGTATGACTATGTGTTACACGTTTTCAAATTTCAGCAATGCTGCTGTGCCTGTTCTCACACCACCACATCACTACCATGTTAGTGTCCCTGCTGTGTTGAGAATGGTCCACCACCTGAATAATACCAGGTCAATAGTGGTCCTGTGGTGCTCCCTTTTCGTGAATGGCCTGAGAAAAAGAGAGCTGATGAAGTGTGCAGCAACAGATGGGCTACAGTCAGAAACTCTAAACCTACAAAGTGCACGTATGGTAGGTGTTTCTGATAAAATGCCCAACGAGTATATCTAAAAGGTAGCATACAATATGTGACTAAGAACCTCGACAGCCCATAAGAATCACTGCACCACCAAACATGCATCAGCCCACCCTTTTGGGAAAGCAAGAGAACATTTCAAACACAAGCCTGTCACTTCATTTGAGGAAATCAAATAACTGCACAGGCATGACCCACAGCAGATGGACGCTATTATTGCCGTCACTCAAGCGATTTCTTGTAGCGAGAGTTCCCAACTGACCGATCAGCTTCCGCTCCATTATATTCCAAATTGAGACATCACTGTAAGACACCTGACAGCTGGAATTGGTCCTGACACATGGTGTGTCATCTGAGAGACAAAGTCCTGCTTCTAAAAGCATCCCGTATGACACGGCAGAAAAATGGCCTTTCTTCTGCATCCCGTTTCTTTTTTCTTTTTATTTTATAAAGTGAACATGGCAGCAGATGCTATAGTCGTTCAATATCTTTCATGTATCTGGTGTAAATTCAATCTCCCCTGGTTGATTATGAGCAGATCCCTGATATCAGATCACACAGCTCTGTGAGTACTCTGACACACACCTATCCAAGCAATCAATTGTAAAACAATCAATATGTTTTGGCCAGTGGCTAGCACGCTCTGGCAGTAAATATATGTTCTCAAACTGAATCACGTAGAGATCAGGCAGTGGTGGACAGGGCTGTACACGAGCTGGAAACCAAACTCGCAAGCAGAAATGTTATTTGTTTTTCCAGCTAATTTTCAAAGCTGACTCACAGCACACAGTAAAATTCTGTTTCATCACAGCGTCCCTGCTTATTTTGATCTTACATGATAAAAATGCATTACTCCTTGTGCAATTAAGAATTCATTATTCAAATACTTTCTTCCCCATAATTTAGTGATTGTTGACTCTGCATGCTGCGCTGCTTTGGTTAAAAGATGCCACATTAATCAGGTTGATCATTATCAATGCAAAATGGGATGCCACCTCATTTTTACTTTAATAAAGTTTCATTAGCCTTCCTTGAGATGTGAGATGAAAATGTATTTTTATACATATCAAGTTTGTATCGGAAGAAAACAATTAAGCAACAATAAAACTGATACGTGAAAATGTCTTGGCATACCACAAAGAACCCTTTCAACCCTCCTAGATCCCTCGTGGTGTGTACATGAAAAGCCTTTTTATATTTTAATTATTTCTCACTCGTAGCTCACTGAAACATGAGAGATATTCTGTTGAAAAAGCAGATTCTAAACTTTAAACTGATACCACATGTATTTTCTCTATTAGAAGAGATATTTATGATTGTATCATTTGATGTGGAAAGAAAACCCAAACCATGCTTTTGTCATCACTTGACATCGAAACAATACAGTTCCAAAACATTAATCAAATGAAAATGTAACTTATTACATGATGAGCTATGAAATTGTGTTTAAATAGTATAGCAGCATGACAGTAATAACTCTAGACCTCTAAGGGTTAAACCAGTTAGGTCAGATAATAGAACCAATCAATTAGCAATTATTACGATAATTACAGGGTAATTAAGGTGTTATTACCTCCTCCCACTCTGCTGTAAAGGATGGGGTCCGCTCCAGTCTTGTGGGGCTGCCTCCTTTCCCCGGGCTGTTCTGACTGTGACCTCGCGAGCTCCACTGCTCCTCTTCGATAGGCGACACGGCCACCAGGTTGGAGTCCGACTTGGAAAAGTTCCTGGACAGCTGCAGGTCCAGGACGTTGCGTGGCACGGAGCGCATCCTGCCAAGAGTGCAGGCTCGCTCCTCGTAGCCCGCAGTGCTGCTAACACTGCTGCTGACCACTGTGCTAGACGGGCCGTTGTTGCTCCGCGTCTGCTCTCCGTTGCTCACCGGGTCAGTCTCTGATTGGGCAGTCGGTGGGCTCTGGTTGACCCGTGTGTGGAAGATGGTGCGGTAAACCACCTGTGGTTTGGGCTCTTTCTGGCCCTTGGGGGGAGAAGCCTGAGTGGCGGGGGGTCGGGGAAAGGGTGGGCTGGCCGGCTCGGGTGCTCGGAGCAGGTTGCCGTGCCGCTGCGGTGGCTCTGGGGCGCAGAGCTTGCGGACTCTGCCGTAGAGCTGATAGGGGTTGTCTGGTGACTCGCAGGCCGGAGAGGAGCCGTGCAGCAGACCAGCAAACTGCTCTGGAACGTGGCTATCCCTGCGTTCGTCCCTCAACACACACTCCCTCTGCTCCAACACCTCATCTGAGACACACAGAGACACAGATGGGGGGTTATACAAATGTCTACATTTTTGGGTCCACTGTCTGTTCTCTCTATCATCCATGAATATGCACCACTTCAAAAGCAGGACTCCAAGGGCTCCATTTACACAACAGTGTTTGAAATTGTGCTACATGCGTATCTATACATTTAAAGGGCTGTTGGTCCTTTAAAGTGGTGAGAAAAGCACTAAATGGAAGCCTTAGGCTGAGGGGCAATGAGTCTGTCTGATGATGTGAGAGAATATTGTGCGTGCGTGTGTGTGTACTTCCCCTGAGGAAAAAAGTCTTTCAGTGAGACATGCATGCCGCCCTGCACTCAGAACTTTCACTACAGAGCCCTTAAAAGCGTCTCTGTGTCCGCAGGCACTCAGGAAGCTGCAGTGTGACGCAAGCACATGGTCAGAGAACCAACAAATCCCGTTTCCTAAGAAGCTGATAGGTTCATTCAGTCATTCCAAGGTAAAGGTATCTATATGTATGTTATGGTGTAGTTTTACCTCTAATTATAGTTTTAGTACCCTTTAATATTGGCAGCTACACACTGTTCTAAAGCGACTCTCAGAAGTGCTTATTAATCAGCATCATACGGATCAAATTAATCACGCTCCGAGCTTGCCAATGACACCTCACAGAGATTTGATGCTCACCAGCCAAAGCAGTAGATGCGCACGGAAGCAAAACGAGATGATAATAAGGTTTTGAACACGAGTCGGCTGGCTATTTGCGCTTGCTTTCGCTGCAATGTTGATAATGCAGTTTAATCAACAGAGAAAATATTCAGCAACAAGGCAAAAGCAAACCAAAAAATAAATAAATAAATAAAATCCACGGTGGAGACTTTCATCAAGTGAAATTATTTTGCATAAATATGTTGGCTTTGTACTTAAATCTTAAGCAAAGCAAATAATGCAAAACAGAAAAGCACAAGATTGAGCTTTGCTGAGTAGCTCCACTGAGTCGATTTTTGGATTTTGAGCTCTGCTACTTCACCACGAAAAGTGAGTCGTTGAGCTAGAACATGTACAGGTTGTGGGCAAAAGTTGTGCACTGGTCTCCAACCCTGGTTCTGGAGAGCTGCCTTCCTGCAGAGTTTACTTCCACCCTGTATCCAATAAGCTGCCCCACCCCTTACTTAACTGTAATACATCTGATCCAATCAGGGACTTGGGAAGAGGCTGATTAGCTGAAGCAGGTGTGGCAAACTGTGTTTGGAACTAGGCTGTGCAGAAAGGTAGCTCTCCAGGGCCAGGGTTAGAGACCACTGCTCTATAAAGAACACACTTCTGCACATTTTAATGCAAAATTACTGTTTATCTGCTGAATGTAATATACTGGAAAAAAAAACACATTAAATGTGACCTGTGCAAGGATTATGGCACATTTTGTTTTATTAATATTATTATTTTTTTTCCCAATTTGTTAAACTTGGTAAATAAACAGAAATCGTGCAGTAAAATCTGCAGAAAAATACCACATTTAAGTGTGTTCTATGTATAGGATGTGCTAACTTTTACCAAGAAAACCAACAAAGCATGTAATTTGACCAGGAGTGTTCAAACTTTTGCAACTTTTTTCTTTTTTTTTTAATACATTTTTTATAACAGACACTGTCACAAACCATCTTGACAGAAAGGCAGGCCCAGTCCTCTGCTGTGCTTCTCAAAGCGAGATCTTCGATTTTTAATTTTTTTTAAAATGACCTAAGTGGAGATCACTTGCTGCACATTATAAACTGTACAGAATAAAGTGGTGATTACAATATGAGCACAGATAAACTGTGAGTAAAATATACAATTTCAGGGGTTCTGACCTTAATTTTTAAATGCTATAGTTTCAAATTTATTCAATGCCTCCAGCGCAAAACCAGAGACGTAAACTTCAGAAACCAAGCATGTCTGAGCGATTGTGTAGATTAGTGGGAAGTTATGTGAATGTGTTTTTCCAATGAATCATTCCTTTAAGCAAGCAGTAAGTGACCAAAATCACTATTGCACAATAAACATAATGAATACTTATAGCTACTTACGGCACAAATACAAGCATTTTTTGTGTATTGTAAAGCTGTTAGAATAACAGCATTCTCTGAATATCTTTTCTATATACAAAAACAAGTAAACATGGGTCATCCCATGAAAAGCTCCTTACAGTTTGTTATTTGTGCTGTAACAGCAGCTACTGCTTGACACATGTTACACACCATCTGGGATTGAAGGAAAAAAATCTCACTTAATTTAGTAGTTAAGGACAGCAGAGGTGAGCTGTGCAGATTACTTCATAAGTAGCTGCAGAGCAGAGCGGATAAGACACTTTTTCTGCACACAGAAGAACAGGGTCTGTCTAAAGGTCGTGCTTGAAACCTCAGCGAGATGCAGTGCTTAAACATCCCAGCCACGCCATTGTGCAGATAACCACACTACTGCTACAACACCACTACCATATTAGTATCACTGCTGCGCTGAGAGTGGTCTACCACCCAAATACTAATTATCAGTGGTGGTCTTATGGTGGTCCCTTTCTATTGCTGGAAATTACCAGCCAGTTTTAAACAGCATTATCATGTTATACTTAAAACACCTCTTTGCTGTAAAGTGAATTGTCGCTGTAAATTAACAGGTAATCTGTACTGCTTAAGCTCTCCTCTGATAATCATCCATTTTCGCAGACACCACGGTCACCATGCCAACGTTTGTGTGGCTTTATACCACCATTGACTGTGTACTGCTATGAAGTGTGAAATTACTTTTTTTAACGCAAACATGTGAACGCATCGCCTGTGCCATTTTATTTTGTTTGTGAAGTTATACGAAGTTAATTTTTTATGTGTGCCATCAAATTCAAAATGGGAATCTATTTTCAAAAAAAAAAATTCTTAGTTTCAACATTTGATATGCTGTACTATTGTCAATTAAATATAGGGTTTTAATGATTTGCACATCATTGCATTCTGTTTTTATTTACATTTTGCACAGTGTTCCAACTTTCATGGAAACAAAGTTGTATATATACAGCAGGATATGGAGAGAGTGAGCATATGGCATACGATATGACTTTGCCACAAACTGATTTTAGAAAAACATAAAAAAAAAACAAAAAAAACATACCAAATCTTTTTTTGCTGATATGGCAAAAAGAACAAGTTCTGACATTATATTTTCATACTGCCAATGTCTAAGTGAATTTGCTGAGTTCTAAATGGCTTTCTTCATCAATTAATCATCAAGACTTGATCTACAATAAACTGAGAAATGTGTAAATCTGTAGCTTTACTAGGAAAGGTAGTGCATCCTCATCAAAAATAATGGACTAGCAGTATTATACTGTAAAAGTACTGAATTACACTGATATCCTGTAGTTATAAAAACAGTCTGGAGCCGTACATTTCTGCAACAGTAGTATACTCTTAATTTCACAGTAACTTCCTGGCAAGCCTGCTGCCAGTTCTTTACTGTTTTATTTACAGTGCAATTGTTGGGTGGGTGGCAACTATGTATATGTTTGAAATAGTAAAATACACACATACTATCACTGTATACTAATGTATGTGCGTTAGCCTGCCCAACAGACATAACAGTTTTTGTGCATGTCTGACAAAATGTACATGTCTGCATATGTCTCAGTTTGTCTGCCATGACAGTGTGGCATATGATACATGTGTGAAGAGAAGAAGGCGTATGGGTGTACAGCTCGTTAACCGTATGGTGAGTGCTGGAGCGCCTGTTGTGTGTGCTGGAGTGAACTCTGCCTGTCAGTCCGGATGAGAGTGGAGAGGCAGGGACGTCAAAGGCCATATCAAACCTCATCACCCATGCAGACAGATACAGAAGCTCGAACACCCTCTCTGCGCTGCCTCCCAGCATTAGTGCAGTGCCCCAGCACACGTAAAAACAGCGCTCTTCGACGATAACGATCAAATTATACCCTTGCTGGCTCAGAGAGAGAGAGAAGGATGGAGGGAGATAAGGAAGTAGACTGATGGGCAAATGGTGGATCCGTCACCACTACATGGTAGTGCTAGTGTGTGGTTTACACTGACAAACTTATGCAACTGCAAGACACCTCACTAGGATGGACAGAGCTGTTGACCTGTAGGTCATCTTAATTCAGTAACAAAGCCTCTGTGAACTCCAATTCTGTAAACTTTAAATTCTTTTAATTTTAAACATAGTTTTAAAGCAGTAGTTTAGCAAAACTCAAGTTTACTCAAGCCCAAATATAGTTGGTCAGCCAAGACATGCCTGCGTTTGAAGTTTGCTTTTTTAGTTGTACACTGGAGCTATTAGGTTAATTTGAAATATAGGTTTCAAATTAGCACTATGCGAACTGCATGTCTAAAACTCACATATCTGAGTCAATACACGTCGAGTTGTTAGGTATTTCAAATAGATTTGTTTATGTGGTTTGTTACACTGTATGACATTCTGTTATCTATAAAAGTCAACTAGCTATATGACATGCTTTTGTATATTTTTATCATAGATATATATGGACCATTCTGCCAAATTAGTTCAAACTGTGGTGCCACGTGTGTGTGTGTGTGTATATATATATATAAATTCAGATCTTAGATATTACAGTGATTATGTTATGATCTATTTAAACCCAAGGAATTACTTGAAATAGTAAAAAGATAAATTTATACAAAATCATCATTTATCGGGCACTTTCTATTGGGAGGTCCCAACAACTAACCCCTAAATTTTAACTTGTAAACAATACATAAAATTAATTAGTGTTATATTTTTAAATAGATATTTTTAGTTTAGAAGTTGAAAGATTTGGATTTATCATGAGTTTAATATTTTAAATGAACAAACTATTAAAGTAATGCAGTCCCATGTTTTCATTACTGAAGTAAGTCAAAATTACTACTGAAACACACAGTTTTAGTCCACAGATGGAGGCTTATTTTACCCACACCCCTGCATTTTAGAGCAGGAAGTGGTACTGCATCCCTGCAGTTAGATCCCATTCAGCCTGTTT